TCTGAGCATTCTTTTGTCTATCAGAGGTTGAGCTTTCTGACTTCTGACCACCATCAGATCTTCTCCTGGCTTCTGACTGCTTCTGATACCTCCTATCAGAAGTTGCTTTCAGAGCCTGCTGTTCTACTTCCTTTTCAGAGTTTCTCTCAGTCAGACGCAACTCTTGCGCTTCTAGACTGCTCTGCAGCTCTTCAATTCTCATTGTGCTCAGATCTTTGGAATGTTCTATTGCTACCACAATGTAATCAAATTGAGGAGTAAGGGATCTCAATACTTTCTCCATGATTGTTTCTTCAGAAAGAGTTTCTCCACATGCCTTCATCTCATTAGTGATCAGAATCACTCTGGAGATGTATTCAGAAACTTTCTCATTATTCTTCATGTTGAGATTCTCATATTGCTTTCTCAAGGACTGAAGCTTCACCTTCTTCACTGATGCGTCACCACCATAACATCTCACCAGAGTGTCCCATGCAGCCTTTGCTGTTGTAGAGTCTGCAATCTTCTCAAACACGTTTACATCCACACATTGATGAATGAAGAACAATGCTTTCTGATCCTTCTTCCTTACTTCCTTCTGCGCGTTTTTCTGTTCATCAGTTGCATCTGCTGCTACTGGAACATAACCATCAGTGACAAGATCCAGAACATCTTGAGCACCAAACAGCACACGCATCTGGATCATCCAACGATTCCAGTTTTTACCGTCAAATACTGGAAGTTTGGTGTTCATGTTGCCGTTTCCGTTCATCTTCTTCTTTGCACAATACACTCAGAGTTTTCTCACACAGTGTTTCCCAACCCACAGAATTTTAAAATTCTGATCAGATTTTGTTCAAGATTCAGCGTGAATCTAAGAAACAAAATCAATCACACAAGACCTCACGTTCACTCGTGTTTCCCGTGTTTCCCAATGAATCTGAACCGGAGCTCTAGATACCAATTGTTGGTGCAAAGATAGAATAAATGATGAAATAGGAAATATTCTATTAAGAGAATGACGGCTACAAAACATGATGATTAGGTTACAATGATTGTCACCCTATTTATAAGCTAAAAACTAGGGTTACTAGAATAAGATAAATACTAAAATACCCTCTAACAAACTTATGGGCCAAGAAAATAGTACAACTAAATAAATATGAATTATCATTAATATTCTAATAGAAAATAGATCAGACAAAGTCCACGACCAACCTATGTCAATTTAAATTGATTTTTTTTTTAAGTTTCTTTTATAAAAACATATTTTTCTTAAAAACACAAAGCTTTATGACATAAAAAGTCTTTTAAATTGATGTATTAAAACCAATATAAATGATATGTTTTATTATGATTATATATGTTATATTAGATTTTGTACTCTAGATTGATTAATAAATTTGCTTACTTTCTAAACATCTTATGTTTATTAACTTTATTTCATATTTAAATTAATTATTATAAATTTAAGTTAAAATATATAATAAAATAATTTTTTAATGATTCATATACAAAGCTTATCTAGGTAGAACTTATTTCTACTCCTTTTTTTTTGTGGTTTCTCAAAAAAATGTATATTCATATTTCTATCTTTAACAATCTTTTGATTATAGTTATCATGTCATGAAATAAATTTTACAATAATAGTAACTAGAAAAATATACATAGTATTAGCATTATAATATTAGAAGGAGAAAATAAATTTGAGGTGATAAATGAATAAAAAAATTGCATGAGGTAAGTAGATTGAGTAATATTAATAAAAATGAAAATGAAAAAGCATGAGAAAATGAAAAGGGAGGCAAAGCAAGCGTGTGGGGCAATGTAATAGATGTGAGGAATATTATGAAGAATAGAAAATTGGCCACGTGTAATCAAAGTCACTCTCTCATTGAGGTAGCAACGCGGGGTTATACGTGTGCTAAATTACAAACTAAATATGGTTTCTCCACTTACTCATGAATCAATGAATCAATCAAAAGCCCAATTACCTCATTCATCTTAATGGCCCAATACACTAACATTTTTCCTTTCTATAATCTTTGTCCTAGATTAATTCAGTTTTTTTTATTTATAATCCACCATTATTAATTTGTTATAAATATGTAGTATGGTCAAAGTGTAACGATATTCACAAAATATGTTACTTCATTTGAAAACACTTGTATTATAGTTTGAAATATTTGAATTTTCAATCCAAATAATTTATTTTTTAAATTTTTTTACAAAATACTTTATTTTAAAAAAAATTCTCAAAATATCGCAGTTAGGGATTCTGAATGCATGTGGACGTCATACTAATTGGCGACCCTTTGTTAAGACTTTAGCGGAGTCGCCAATTGAATTGGAGACACCTCATACAATCTCCAATTCAATTGGCGACTTGGTATTATACTTAAAGCCCTGTCGCCAATTCATCTGGAGACAGGGTGCATTTTATAATTTTTTTTTACCAAAAATAAATAGCATTATCATTAATTAAATAAACTATTACATAAATTAATATTGGCGACCGAATGGGTCATACTGGCCACCGGTTCCACATCCCCTAGGCACTCTCACTCGTTCCCCTCGTTGTTGATTGACGTCATGTGTTTGAGGAGTTGAAGTCTCATGAACATTCTTAGATGGTTTCCTAGGAATTCCTTGCATTTCTATGAGATCTTGTGTGTTGAAACTGAGTGTGCGACCCATGCCAGAGTAGTTCGGATGTGATGAAGGGGTCATTGGTGTGCGTCCTGGACAATTGAAGGGGGACATTGGTGTGAAAGATTCGTTAGTGAAAGGTTGAAATGGTAGTGGTGTTTGAAAGCCATAAGGTTGTTGAGATGGTTGAGTGTGTAGCCTAAGGTATGATGTCAGAGCATTTTGGCTATGGAAATATGTTTGGGCGTTATGGCTATGGTATGATGTACCCTCATTTTGGCTATATCTTGATGTTGTGTTGTGGCGATATCCATATTAGGTTTCTGGATAGTAGTCAGTGTGTTGGAGATGGTATGAAGGACGCTTTTGGTATTGTGGTTGGGTGTTTGACATGTTCGGATGGTTAATGGGTTGGTAATTTTGTTGGGTAGGGGGTTGTGAGTAACATGACCTTCCTGGTGGGTTAGACGTTGAAGCTTCTTGTGTGTAGGTAGTTTGACGTGGGTCGTATAAATACCTGCTTCGGAGACAAACCCAGTTGCAACCGATCTGTACCAAGTCGTATAATTAATAGTTGGTATAGACGGGGTTGCCATCACCGGGTCACGTAAAATATGAGCGTTGCGGTTTATCTATTTACAACGCTTAGATTTTGCAAAATCCTTTCAGTTAGGAAAGTCCCATTGACCATTAACTCTTTTTAGATGCCATTTACTGATGTCAACATGAGGATATGAGATGTTTTGATACATTCCAAATTGTAGTTTGACACGCTAACTATTGTGCATCTCCACAGTTGTGAATCTGATGATCGGCACACATGTAGTCCAAACGACAACATATTCCTCTCTGGCTTCATGTAGGTGTTCCATGTTTAGATATGGACGTAAAATTAACTGAAGAACATAAAATAGTTGATATAAAATATAAATTGATTTGTTTATAGGCCTTACATCTGCAGGTTTTAGGCGATCCAATAGGTTGCTGTCTTGAATGATACAATGTCTAAGGCATTTATTGTAAGTCATACCCTTAGCCGACCATCTAAACCACAAAAAGTTCAAATTCAATTAATTAGACACAATAATTAGTAAGGTAAAACAAACTAAGATTAAGTTAGTAACTTACTTTTGTGCATACGGGAAGGAAAAACTATTGTGGATGACGGCCGCTAGGGATGACAATCTAGACCAACCACATGCTTGGAGCAAAGATATGAGATGAAATGTGGAACTAAATGATCAGAACACCTCTATTTATAGAAAAAATTTCAGTTTCTAAGGAGTCTCCAGATGAATTGGCGACTCCCTTATGTGTATAATACAAAGTCGTCAATTGAATTGGAGATTGCATGAAGTGTCTTCAATTCAATTGACGACTCCTTTAAAGCCTTAACAAAGTGTTGCCAATTGGTATGACGCCCATATTCATTCAGAATTCCTAAGTAGAGTACTTTGAGAATTTTTTTAAAAAGTGTAGTATTTTAAAAAAAAAAATTGAAAAAAAATGTTATTGAGTAAATTTTTTGAAATATTTCAAAATTATAAATATATTTTCACTCAACATTAGTGAATTTAATGAATGAATATAACTGATAGGTAACTCATAGCCTAATTAATAAATTTTTATAAATATTAAAATTAGAGTTTAATTTTATTTTATTTTTATAAAATCAATTTATAAAGTAAGAGATGCTATTTTATAAAAAACGCTTCTTAAATTCTATTTGAAATTTAAAATATTTTTAAATAATATTTTAGTATTATTAATTAATTTAATTGATAAAATTATTAATAAATAAATAAATAAATTTAAATATATTTTCATAATTGTAATATATTAAGAAAAGACTATGATAACCGTATATATAAATATTTCACTATACAAGAATGACGAATAAGTCCTTGTTTGTTTTTCATCGATTGTCATGTGTGATTGCTCTAAATTTAAGGAAGTTTCACCGTATTATAATGATAGTATATTTTTCAAACATAAAATATTAAGTAGGCAAAAAATAAAATATTGTAGAGAGAGAAAGCGAAATAAGGTGGTCGTGGCATTGTATCATGCATCAATGACACTCCTTGATACCCCACCTTGTCTTGCTCACACTTATTGCAATTGTATCATATCATTCATCATCAATCCTTCTACCTTTTTAATGAGTCCTCTCTCCCATTTTCTTATTCTTACACGTGGTCTTCTCTTGCATCTTCTCCCTCTTTTCTCTCTCTCCCCAACTATATATACCCCAATATCTCACTCCCCACTCCCCTCAACTCTCGTTCTCTAAACAAACATTTACTCAAACAAAAACAAACACAAACACCTTACTCTACTCTTTTCAAAATAGAGAACCTTCTTCATCCACTATGGCAACATTTAGAGCTTCTTCATCAAACACATGGATCAACACCAAATCTTCTTCATCAATCCATAATTTGAGTTCAAAGGGAAATTCAAGTTCAAGTTCAATCTCTTTAAAGAAGAAAAGATCCACCTCCAAAAACACAATCTCATGTTCGCTACAAACGACACTCCCTTTCCCAAAAAAGTACCAACCTCAATCCACAAATACTACAACAACAACGTTAATCCCCACAAAAGAAACAAAACCCAATTTACCCTCCAACACAAAACCATTACCCAAACAAGAAAACCAATGGAACCTTCTACAACAAGCCGCAGCCACCGCCCTCGACTTCGTCGAAACAACGTTAATCAAACAAGAAAGCAAACACCCCCTCCCCAAAACCTCCGACCCACGTGTCCAAATTGCCGGCAACTTCGCCCCAGTACCGGAACATCCGGTAACCCAAAATCTCCCTATTACAGGCAAAATCCCAAAATGCATTGACGGCGTTTACCTCCGTAACGGCGCAAACCCACTACACGAGCCGGTTGCCGGTCACCACTTCTTCGACGGAGACGGTATGGTCCACGCCGTTAAATTCACTAACGGCTCCGTCAGCTACTCCTGCCGCTTCACCGAAACCCACCGTTTGGCCCAAGAAAAAGCCCTGGGCCGGCCCGTTTTCCCTAAAGCCATAGGTGAACTTCACGGACATTCCGGTATAGCCCGTCTCATGCTATACTACGCACGTAGCCTCTGTGGGCTCGTCGACGGTACCCACGGAATGGGCGTCGCAAACGCCGGTTTGGTTTATTTCAATAACCGTCTGTTAGCCATGTCCGAAGATGACATCCCTTATCACGTTCGCGTCAAACCTAACGGAGACTTAACGACCGTTTGCCGTTACGATTTCAACAACCAACTCAAATCAACAATGATTGCACATCCAAAAGTTGATCCTGTTGATAAAAATCTCTACGCTCTAAGCTACGACGTCGTTCAAAAGCCTTATTTGAAATACTTCCGTTTCAATTCTAACGGCGTTAAATCACCGGACGTTGAGATTCCGTTAGCCGAGCCAACCATGATGCATGATTTCGCTATAACTGAGAATTTCGTGGTTGTTCCCGATCAACAAGTTGTGTTCAAATTAGGCGAGATGATTCGCGGAGGCTCACCCGTAGTTTACGACAAAGAGAAGGTTTCGCGATTCGGTGTTCTGTCGAAGAATGCCGAAAATGCTTCAGAGATGAAATGGATTGACGCACCAGAGTGCTTCTGTTTTCATCTCTGGAATGCTTGGGAGGAGCCTGAAAATGATGAAGTTGTTGTTATTGGATCATGCATGACACCGGCGGATTCGATTTTCAACGAATGCGACGAGAGTTTGAAGAGTGTTTTATCGGAGATTCGATTGAATTTGAAAACAGGGAAATCAACCAGAAGAGCCATTATCCAAGAATCGAAACACATGAATTTGGAAGCTGGAATGGTGAACAAGAACAAACTTGGTAGAAAAACACAGTTTGCTTATCTCGCTCTTGCCGAGCCATGGCCTAAAGTTTCCGGCTTCGCGAAAGTTGATCTTTTCAGCGGGGAGGTGAAGAAGTATCTTTACGGCGAAAACAGATTCGGCGGGGAGCCTCTGTTTTTGCCTAATGAGAATTCTGAGAATGAAGATGATGGTTATATTTTGACATTTGTTCATGATGAAAAGGAATGGAAATCGGAGATTCAGATTGTGAATGCTATGAATTTGAAGATAGAAGCATCTATTCCGCTTCCGTCTCGAGTTCCTTACGGGTTCCATGGAACTTTCATACATTCAAAAGAGTTGGAGAAACAAGAGTGAGTGAGTGAGTGACTCAGTGAGTCGCTCCAACTCGTTCTGGTTTGTGAGAGGAAAGATTTTACTGAGGGATGGTTGCAGATATGTCCCCGGAATCAACTCCTCTGTTTTTTCTACAGCAGCAGATATTATTATTTTCTGCTTTTTTTTAAAGTTCTTTTTTATGGGACCAGCTCGTAGCTTTTGGAGGTAGAAAATGAAGCTCAGCTGGTTTTTTTTTTTTTTTCTTTTTCATTTTAAATTTTAAATTTCTGTTGTGAATGAGAGTATAAAAAAATATAAAATGATGATGACAGTGTAGAATGTGATATTATAGTATGTGGTTAGTGTCACAGTCACAGTGTAAACTTATGTTTCAGCACAGTTTTGTGTTGTAAATATCAGATATCATGTTTATATTTGACTATGTTTCTATTCGTGTTCAAATACTAGTATTTTTTTTTTTTTTTAATTTTAAATTTATGTCTTTATATTGATTTGTTAAGGGGTTACGTGAAAAACAGAGGCAACAATAAATTTATTTAATAAGCTTATAATGTAAGAAGAGCTCCCTTCTTGCAATTGGATAACTTATTTTGACAATCAGTGTGTAAATTTCTTGAATCAGTGTGGTTTTCATCCAATAGCCAACATTCATTATTATAACAATTGAATAATGGAACAAGTTTGGTTTAAGGCGCATATACAAAAAAAAAAAAAAATTAGCAAATTTGACTATGATGCTCAATTTCAAGTCTATGTCATTGTGTATGTGAAGTATTGTAAGAGTGTTATATATAATCAATCTACTAAGAAATGTGAGATTATTTTGATCAGATTAAAAAAGTTATCTCAGAGTCGAAGCTAAAGGGGTGGTACAAATTTTGAGCTCCTACAAATGAAGTCAATGTTTCGGTCGATCTCAAATTTTGAGTTCTCACTGACGATGTCACTATTCTAGTAGGGAATTAGAAATTTACAGTAAAGAAATGGAATAGAATCTTGGTACAATAGAGCGTACTTTTTAATATGATGAAAATGAGATGAACTTGCAAAGTTAACACTCTATCATCAAATTTACAGTAAAGAAATGAAATAGAATTTTGGTACAACAGAGCGTACTTTTTAATATGATAAAAATGAAATCAACTTGCAAAGTTAACACTCTATCATCAAATTTACAGTAAAGAAATGGAATAGAATTTTGGTACAACAGAGCGTACTTTTTAATATGATCAAAATGAGATGAACTTGCACATTTAGAGATATTTTATATATGATGCACATTTAGAGATGTCTCATGCTTCTCGATGTACAACACTGAGAATCATATTATGTTCAACAATAAATAACCGTCTGTTTCATTGATTGATTACCAGTCTCAAAGTCGTGGATACCTTCAACAACTTACAAATGATGTACATGTTTCGGAGCTAAAGGGTGGTGCAAATTTCGAGCTCTTACAAATGATGTTAATGTTTCGGTCCATCTCAAATCTTGCAAGATATTGTCCATTTTAGGTGTGAAAACTATTATTGTTTTATTCTTTAGAAAAAACGTCTCATTGGATTGAGATGTACGAGTCTCTGTACAATGTGAGATTAATTTCACCAATTTAAAATAGTTGCTATCTCAGTTGAAGTTGGACACAATACGAATTTTGAGTTTTCACTGACAGTGTCAATATTCTGTTAAAAAACTAAAAATTTATGGTAAAGAAATGGAATAGAATCTTGGTACAACAGAACGTACTTTTTGATTTGGTGAACATGAGACAAATTTGCAAAATTAATACTCTAACATCAAAATCAATTAAAAAATAACAAAATAATAGAATAAGTTATGATTAAAACATACCTCAAATCACACCTGAGATATTTTATATATAATACACATTTAGAGATGTCTCATGCTTCTCGATGTATAACACTGAGAATCATATTATATTCAACAATAAATAACCGTATATTTCATTGATTGATTACCCGTCTCAAAGTCGTGGATACCTTCAACAACTTATAATTTTGAACAAATGATTGAGCCTCCTCGTCATTGTACCCTCTCCAATCCGAAACATTGCCAAACTTGTTCAATCGATTTGATTCAATCTCTTTGGTTCACTTAGTCTAAAAAAAACATGACACTCTATCATCCTAATGAAAATACTTGTACTATTGCAACAAGAAAACACCTGAACAATACGTTAACAATTGAGGTTAATTACTGAATCTTTACATTTTATCCTTGGACACATATATGGTCCAAATTCATAACAATAATTTTTTTTAATATCGTGGTCCTTTTAGTGGCAGCTCCACCTTTTAGTCTTAAGGTATGTTATGTTACATCAAAATAAAGATCAGCATATTCCATCAAACGTATATGAATACGTCTTCATCAGTTCAGGTTTTTTGAAGATATTGAAAAAGATACAAGCACTAGTAATTGGTTGCATAGCACACGTTAAAAATCATAGCCACCCAATCACAACCAAACATTTGGTAACATCAACCTCTCTATAACGGCAATAACTTTAGACAATAAGTGTCAAATCGCAACAACAATATCATCATCTTCTAGGTCAACTTTACAAGTGTTTCAATTTTCGAAGTTTCCAACCAAATTCTTATTAAATTAAGATTAACATTAAAGCCTCTTTTTTAAATATCGGTTTTTTATTTATTTATAAGAAAAAATTTAATAAATTAAAAAATTGGAGTATATAAATATGTTAAATAGTCCTTTAGAATATTCCATAGTCATTCTAATAAAAAATTGCATACGTTTGATAGAAGAAGATTAAATGATTTTTGTTTTGAATTTGTATTTAACATTGTTTTGATGAATTCAAAATATGACTTGTTCAATTGAGGAAATCTCTCGTGATAGTGAAATAAAGGTATCTTGATGCTAGACAACATATAATTCACTATTAACTAATCTGTTAGAAATAAATAAAGTTTTAATTTAAACACTGATTTAGACTAGTTGATAAAGTAAAATTAAAGGAATATTATAAATTGGTCCTTAAATTTATCACAAGCTAAATCATTACATAAATCATATTTTTCGGTCTATAAATTTTTTAACAAATAGAAAAAATTTGAAGAATAATCTAAAATAGAAATACAGTTAGAATATATAGAACTTTATGAAATGGTGTATTTGGATTGGTGAAATGAAAAGGGAGCATTCAAAAGTCAAAGAAATTGTGGAAATATTATTGGTAGAAAGTGAAGAAAATAAGTTGACAGGACTTAAAAAAACACGCAAGTTTGACAAACATGCAATGGTTTTACTCAATTATTGATGAGTGGTATCTCTTCCCATGTCAAAGGGTGTAGGTGATTGGAGGGTCCAACCAAATGCAAACTTCAACTAAAATTGAAACTTTTCATCATAACATGAAAGTCTCTGTAATTAGTCATGATTTATACCATTATGGGCAATTTCTGTTACTTGTGTTTTTGGTATGCAATGAAAGCTAGGCATTGGCTTTTGTAACTTGTTCAGTGGTTTTGCAATTGGCTTTTGTAACTTGTTCAGTGGTTTTGCAATTTGCATTTGTGCTTCATTCACTCATGATTGTCATGGTCTTTTTTTGTTTTTTATCATTACAAGGAATGTCCATTATGTAGTGATTTTTAACCAACTTGAGATTTAAGTCAGACCCTAACATGGATTCAATATATGCACCACTGTTCATCACTGACAGATCTAACAAAATTTCACTATTAGTAAGGATGAAGTTGGCCCGGATCAGAATCTAAAATTTTACATTACAATCTTGTGAGAACTTTTGATATATGATTATAATTTATATATAGACAAAATAAAAAATCTTTTGTTTTGGGTTAGATTTGAGAGTTTTGATTTTAAGGAGACAAATTTGGAGAATTGTGTCAATATTTAGGAAACTATGTTGTTACATGTATAATTATCGGTAGATGATTTTGGTGGTTTTGATAATAACAACATCTAATATCAAATAATATTCGATGAAGTTTTTGATGATCTCTGGTCAAGTAATCTCTGATAAAAGTGTCTATCAAAGAAGTTTTATCAACTCTCATCAGATAAAAGAAGTCAAGTCTCAAATGAGTTGTTGAATCAATGATGAATCTATCAAGAGTTTTTGAAGCTTCAAGATTGTAAAAGAGACAAAGTGTGAAGAGTGTCTCCTAATATACTAATAAAATCTACACACATGAAAATGTTTTTGAAGTTTTTCTTATTTTATGAAATTAACTGAAAATGTTTTATGCACGTATTTAGTTGATTACCAGCTTGGTTGAGTTACTTTTACATTAGATAATCAATTAACTCTTTTGTAGCCTCTCATAATTGTTTAAATGAGTTTATAATTGGTTAGTGACGGCGAATTCAAAAACCTTTCATATTTTACCTACATACTTAATTAAACCTAGGTCATAATTGATTATATTCATTAAAAAGTCCACAAACTGTTTTCCTTTTTGAGCTACATTTTCTCATATAAATATAGGGTTTCTCATCATTCCAAAATACACCAAAATTTATTTTGAATCTCTTCGTTCTCACTTGTACTTTTTTTCTATTAGTTCATTAAAGTTGTTTTAATGCCTTGTGAGTGAAAAATACTTGTGAAAATTGGTTATACTAGTGTTCATGCTTAAGTGTTATTCGTCAAGATTATGATTCTCTTGTTTGATTTGTTTGGTTCTTGAGACTGTCCTCGTAAAATATCTCTCTGGTTATTGAGATTGTTTTGGAAAAACCTTGTCTTGGATTTCTTTTTTGAGATTGTCTTGGTAAAATGTTTGTTTGGTTGTTAAGACTGGCCTTTTAAAGTTTCTATTTAATTTTGAGATTAAACAATAAAATATTTGTTTGGTTTGTGATCTCATTTGTTAAAAGTTCGATTGGTTTGGGGGATCAACTCGTATAAAATTTCTCACCTGTTGTAATACGATTTATGGGCACAACCTTAAATATCTCAAGAGTTTTTATTAGTATGAAATCAAATTGGCATAAGGTAAATTAAC